GGACTTCAAAACATTTTTCGAGTTTGTTAGATTGGTTCATTTTCGATAACTAAAAGCGAGTGAAACCTATCGTATGCAAGCAAATCGTAACGCCTGAGCGTTACTTTTTCAAGATGACTTTGTTTGCTTCAGATTTGTGGAAGACCAATTGGAGAGCTGCCATAGTCAAGCTGAGAGAAGAGTGCGGAATCCGAGATGTGTGCGAACTGGGTGTAAGTACCCTGCCAGTAACCCATGCTTGGGATAAGTACGTCGTCGTTCCTCATTATCCCGAGGTAAGATGCAAGCGCCCGAGAGTTTGCTCAGTTGGAACAGTTTGACATATTCAGGTAAAAGAAGCGAATCTTGGCTTGGATGCCTCTGACGAAGAGGAGGTAAGAGAGGAGAAGTTCTTAAACTCATTATCATACACAGAACTGACAATGTAGAATGTGAAGCCGACTGGTCGCTCATATATTGACGACAGCGACAGCATTTCTAACGACTCTTTTGTCGTGGGTAGTGACGAAGAAGATGAAGAGGAAGGAAGCGAAGATGAAATAGATGAATGTGATCGGATGCTGGAACAAGAAACTATACGACGACATGAGAGATATCTGAGAAGGGTAAGGCATTTTCAGGGGAGAACTTCACAATAAAGAGTGCGTGCTTCAGAGAGCTAGAGAACCGTCCACATCTTCCGAAGAACCTGTTGAAGAACAACAAGATGATGAAGACGGCAGCGATGTAGAATGGGCGACAGATTACGAGGATGAAGAAGAAGACAGAGATCAGCATAATGTAGATATATCCTATCTTCGTCAACGGATTTGTTTTTTTCTAATACATATGCAAAATCTAGAATCCATTTGTGGACGGTGAAGCTGAAGAGGTTGAACCTGGAATGGAGTCAGGCGATCAAAGCGATACGGAACCAGAAGGCGACGATTTAATCGACAGTGATGATCAGGAATATCTTGAAATGCTTGTAGGTTTTTGAGGTATTTCTTTGCGTCCTGTAGTACATAAGAGACTCTGACTGGAAAGTTTTTTGCCATTTTTCTTGCTTTGAAGTAGTTTAAAATA